GAATGCTAACTGCACAGTGCATTACACGTATGTATGTGGGAAACATCGGCTTATCTCCAGAGAATATGACAGGTGTTCTTATCTGCTTGTTAAAAATAAACTATGCTCAAGTGAGGTTTCCCATATCTGCAGCGGCGCCCGAGTGGGGAAAAGTGTGGCAGAACCCAAGTCGACTCCTCTATCCCCATTTCCCTTGCCAGCGAGCCAGGTTATCTTAGAGAAGCCCCTTGTCTGTTTGGCCTGCTATACTTTGGAAATATACGGCCCCAAACGCACACATCGAGCTGGTAAGTATGCGAAGAAGGCAGATCCTTGGCATCCCCCTTCTGCACGGGTCAGCCAGCATGGAGGGCGAGCATGCCCAAACCAATTCCCATCCCCCCCCATACATCTTTGTTCCCTCCGCTCCACTGACTCCAAAGGCTGGGTGTGGGTGCCGTCCAGTCGCCCCGCTGATCACTGCCGTCGCCCTGGAAACCGAGCGACCCAGCCCCTCCAGCAGTGCGATGCCCAGTGATCACAAAAGGGGGACATCCACATGGATCGCCGCGGACTAGAGATCAGGGGGGGAGGGGGAGCGCGGGTGGCCGAGAGCTGGGAAACTTATCGCTGTGTTAAAAGCCCCCACAATGGAGTCCTGAGCAAATGTGTGCGTGCCTGTGAGTGTGTGTGAGAAAGACTCCCAGCTCTATAACCTCATTCTGTCGGCCGGGCGCTGCGCTGATAGCAGCGAGAGGATAGCGGATCGGACAGCAGGTTCACTGGAATCGTGCGAAAGATGAATTCAAATGGAGGGAGGTGAGGTCTGGAGGAGAGCGTCAGCCAAGTAAGGAAACGCAAGGAGGAAAGAAAGTTTTTTTTAAAAGCGACTCGGAGCGAGGCTCGGTTTACTCGTCGTCCCGTTCCTCTCTCCGAGCAGTGTCACCAAATGAACCAACCCACTTCCTCTTTTGTTTATCCTGGAATGCCGGACATCCCGACAGGCAGGCTATTCAATGACAGCGCACAGCTGAGATTTCCCCTCTGTGACTCTTTCTCTTAACCCTCTCCTGTGCATTTCTATCTATGAACGTGCGTCCCCGGTGAACCAGGCTTCACGTCAGCAGACGGTATGCGTGGAAACGTGATCCACAGACGTCTCTTCCCAAGGCCAGAGAAACCCTGGAATCCTCGTCTGATGCAACTCTGCAACAAGTTTTGACAAGACCGTGCATGATCGTATTAATTGTGAGGATTAGAATAATCTCAGGGCTGCTGTGTCTGTTCAGTGGCTGAAAGAAGGCCGGCCTCCTCACTTTTTCCTTTATTCTGGGGGGTGGGGGAGATGGGAGGGGGGGGGCTTACCTTACATGAGGAAAGCATGAACAGTGAGCGATTGCGAGAAACCACCTCAGCATCTCATAGTGTGAACTTTAGAGCGGACAAACAGGATGTCAGTGACAGAAACATCCTATTCCTGCTCCACGGCCCCTTTTTTCCCCCTTTTTTTTCTTGAAGCCCAGTCGACATGCAAGCCTACGACTGAAACAACAGCCTAGAGGAAAACCCCATTGTGTTCCTGGCCCTCCGGTTTCCTTTGAAATAAGAAAGGCGCTCACAAAGAGAAAAACTCAACAGTGGCTGGGCGTGACTGACTTGAGGTTTACTTAAGCAAAGCGAAGAGGTGCTTTACATATAGAGAAAAAAAACATTTATAAGTATTCCAATTTAAAGAGGGAACCGTCAGAAGGAAAAGGCTCAATCAGCAGTTTGGTGCTCCCCGACAGCCCGCCACACAGGGAGAAGGCTCCCCGGCTGCAGGCACACATGAACGTAAACGTCAAGGCCCTGACTAATTTGTGTCAACATGACGGTGGCCAACTGGGAGGGCTGGTTCTACAGTTTCGCTGTGAGCTTTTAGGTCGAGTCACTCCCTGGGGGTAAAAGAGAAAGAAAATGAAAACCCAGTGAGAGAGCGAGAGAAGAGTCTCTGAACGGGAAAAGGGGAGCAAGCTCACACTCAACGCAGCACGTCGCAAACAGTGACCCACACGAGGAAAAGACCAGGAGCCAATGACCCCCGCTTAAATACACCAGCTTTATGGACTTCTCTGCATGTCCATTCAGAGTTAATACTCTAACGAACGTGAAGCTAATTCGAGGTCGGGTGAGCAGTTTTACAGGTTGACTCACTTTTGAGCAGGCATGGTTACCTCTTAGGAACCACAACATTTGCTTAATCGAAGAAGCCGGGAGCATCTAGAGGTCCAATGGTTTGGTAAACCTATCCGACATGACTGAGCCATGCACAGCCAGGACTAAAGCCAGGTCAGGAGTGTAAACCCTTCCACTGGAAAGAGAAGTTGAATGATGGCACACTTCAATGCACATTCAAGTCCAGAATAAATGTAAAGGTACCATAATCTGGTCATCTAACATCTTACCATACTGCTAACCAGGAAAAAAGAAGCCCAATTCCAAATGTGAGTGGCAAATGAGGCTGGGGATAAAAACACATGGCAGACTGTTCTGCTACGTTGCTCTACAGTGAGCTGACTTTGCACAGCTGGAATATCATTTATCAAGTTATATATAATCCAATTATTGTTTTATAACCTCGCACAGAGTCAGTATTTTACGAGGAGAGAAGGTCATAGCACGCCGACAGATTTCAAATGGTCACAAAGAGCTAAATATGTTGATGTCAGCCTGCATTTGAGTATTTCCCCCTTCCTCTATAAAAGAGGGAGAGAGCACGTCCTCTGGCTAATTCAGGGTGCATTTCTGCCTCTCTCTTAAAGCCACTGTCAGCTGAAAAGGCCTGTGGGTCTGCGAAAGGTCAACAGGCATTATCGAAGGGAGGATCTTTATCAGCTCATCTGGACAACATCAAAAGCGGCCTTCCCCCCCCCTCCCAGCTGATCCCGCCCAGCCGCATCCAGTCTGTGGGGCAACCACGAGAGCGTTGACAGCCCATATTTGAAATTGTAAAAACTGAGTGCAGACTTTGAGAGGCTTCTTTTCTTTCTTTTTTTTTTTTTTTTTTTACTACCGTGGGGCACATTACGAAACCCACTGCAACAGACTAAAAAATGAAAAAATAAATCAGACAGGCGGATAAACAGACGCCATCCCTCCCAGCACACACCGTGTTCAAATAGACATGCACGCACACAGACTGAGGGGAGGGGGTGGGGACCTCAAGAGTGTCGGTCCTCAAGAAATTCAATTAAGCAGACAGCAGGACGCATCCAAAAGCCAGCCTCCATTGAGCTCAATATGCTCTGCAACAGCCCCCACCTCCACTCTCACGAGGTTCCCAACCACTCCCCCGACACCATCCAAAACCCGCTAGGGGCCTGTTGCTGTCCCCCCCCACCCCCAACCAGCAGCGCATTCCTCAGGCTCCATCTCCTTGCCTCCAAATAGATGGGAAACTCACCCGTTTGGATGAGCTAAAAACGAGGGCGTAAAGTTTAACTTGACAGGAAATGTATAAAAGCACGAGCGTCTAACTCGGTTATCGTGCTGGCTTGCACACAACAGGCTAATTTCATTAACCTCCTCTTCGTCTGACGGTGTGTGTGTGCGTCTGCATGTGCGCGTCTGGCAACCAGACAGATGCTGTTCATTTAGCACTTGAGTGGCAATCCTCGAGCTTGTCTCCTAAACGCCCAGGGGAGCCCATGGCATTTGGACGGCATTAAATAAAGCCACTCTAGATCTCACACCATGGGGGGATTTGACCTCACAACATGGTCACCCCGCTCGGGTTTCAGCCGGTCGGCTGAATCAATCTGTGCCGATGAGAGTGGCTCCGTCCAACAACTAAATACCAGGAGGGGCGGGAAAAAAAGTGATCTGCATCCTTCACATCACCTGTGATGAATCGTTTTTCTTATTTAAACCTGTAAGCCCGCCCATGCCAATTTGAGAACCAGCATCATACATTGTATTCTGTCCCGCATGGAGCTGTTTACAACGGCACGGAATGCCAGTGGGATTTGTGATCCCCGAGCCTTCTGCTAGCCATGATAGCATCAATCTCATTATGGGCGCTCCGGTTTAAAACAATGGTGTTTAAAGAAGAAGGGGAAAAAAAACAACACTCTTTCAAATGAATCCGGCCTTTCTCATACCGAGGCCTGGCCGCGTGTTTGTAGATCAGCTGTCAGTGAGAGCGAGCACACACGAAGCCTCATGGGGGGGGGGGCGGGGGGGGGGCAATCTCACACGCAAGCAGCGACACGGCGGCTTAGAGAGGCACTGGGCCACGGCCGGGCACGGCAGCCATGTTGCATAACGGGAACCGGAACTACCCCGGAGACGGGAGTCCGCATTTGGACTGAGGACTCCCTTGGCGTTTCCCTTCATCCGTTCACCTGCCCGGTTTGCACGCCACACCATTCAGAGAACGCCTGACGGGCGAACCCGCGTGACCAGATTCGAGGCCGCCTTCCTTTGAGCCCGGCCTCGGAAAATTGGGGCAAAACGGGAAAATAAAGTTGTGGCGAGACAGAGGCCCACTCCACCCCACCCCACCTGCCCACCCCACAGTGCTCAGGGCGAGCGTCCACCATGGCTGAATGGGGGCCTTTTCATCCCCGTGCGCAGCTCCTGGCGGGAGCAGGGAATTCTGGGCCAAATTAACCCTCCTACCACCAGGGACCCAAATGGTTTCGGTGAAGCCAACACGGCCTCCCTTTGAGTCACCTGAAACCACCTCCTGAGGATGCTGGGTGTTAATTCTCATCTTTTTTCCCCTCCGTGTCTGTGTGCCTTAATCACCCCAATCAAGACTTATCAGTGAGGCTAAGCCAACAGGCCCCCCAGACACCCCCCCCCCCCACCCCCCCCCATCTGCATGTTAATCCCTCACAATAACTCTGATCAGCATATGTTGCCAGAGAAGTCACTTCCACGCCAAGAACATGTCAAAACCGGGTGCTTTATCGTTGAGGGATGAAGCTAAAGGAGTTTTGTTGACTCTAAGAAAGTAAAGATGGAGTTTCTAAAACTGGTCAGACGGCGGCGTGCGACTCACCGTTGAGCCCGTTGGGGATGCTCCTGTGATGGTGGGGCGCCGACAGGTCGTCCATGGACCTCCTCATGGTGGCGCCCACCTTGCCGCTCTCCGGGGGCTTGTGGACGTGGTTGTGGTGGTCGGGGCTGCCGGCGCTGCCCGTGCTGGACGTGCTGCTGCCGTCCCCGACGTCCCTGACCGTCCCGGTGCCCCCGTTCAGGTTGGTCAGGCTGGACTGGCTGTCGATGGAGCTCCTGGAGCCGGCCCCGTTCCTCTCCTCGTCCAGCATGAGGATGATCTCCTTCAGCTCGGAGTTCTCCCGCAGCACGCTCTCCTGGTTGGCCTCCAGCTCCTTGAGCTTCATCATGTAGGCGCCCACCTCCTTCCACATGGCGCTGGCCGTGTAGCGGCCGAAGCGCTGCCACTCCCGGGACAGCTTCTTGCCCTTCTGCCGGTCGTCGTCCAGGAAGCAGCAGAGCTCCCGGAGCTCGTGGTTGTCGTCCTGCAGCTTCTGGTTGACCTCCTTCAGGCTCCGGATCTCGTGGAGGTGCACCTGCAGCCGCCGGTTGACGTCCTTCATCATGTTGCCGTGCTCGATCATCAAGTTCATTTTCTCGCCGTCGGCCCTCCTCAACTTCCTGACCAGGTCCTCCTTGCTGCACCGCAGCAGCTCCTCGTCCGTCAGCTGGCTCAGGTCATCCTTTGGCCCCTCGGACGGATTTTTAGCCATGGTCGCGACGGCCGAATCTCAGCTTTCGGAATTTTCCCGTGACTCGAAGTGAACTCGGAGGACTTATTTAACCCAACCTCAACTGCGGCATCGTGTCAGAAGGCCAATTCATCGTCCAGAAAATCAAGCGGCTCGGTTTTTGTTGTTTTTTCTTTCTTTTAAAACGGGCCTACAATCGCAGCGGTCGCGTGACGCCGCGGTACCCCGCGCGCGGAACGGAACTGCCTCGCGAACGCGATAACAGAAGAGCCTCGCCGGTTCTCCGAAAACAACTGTTGGCGCTCAGATTCCTCCAGTAACAAACCCTGACACACAGGAATCCGCACAGGTCGCTCTGGCCGCTGGCATCAAATCCGGTCAGCGCAGCACAACGGGTCCCAGGGCTGCGCGTGCCATCTCCGCCGGACACCCCTCCACGCAACTGATTTTGAATTTCTTTTTTAAAAAACGAATTGAAAACACAGATATTTGAATATTTTACGCCAATTAACAGGGGGGGGGAAAGCAAACGGTCTTGCTAACGAGCTCCCTATTCCAGCCTATTGCAGTTTCTTACGTGTTTTTCGGGTTTTTTTCTTGCCGTCAACGACGCTCCTCTTCGGGTAAATCTCTCACTGAGGCGGTGTGTGTGGTGGACGGAGGGCTCAGTCCCTTCCACCCCACCAGCTCGGAATTACCAGTCCAATTACGAGCGCTCAGCCCCCCCCCCCCCCCCCTTTCTTCTCCCCCCCCCCCCCCCCCCCCTCCACCTCTCCTTCTCGTCCAAACACTCGGGTTTGAAATCATTCAAGGGGATTTGGCTCAAGACGGCCAATCAAGACGTGGGAGCGTAGTGGGCAGCAGGTAGATGAGAAGCGCTGGAGCCCTCGCGCCGCGCGGGCTCAGCCCTCTTAAAGGGACAGTGCCGACGGGTTCAGGGCACCTCAGAAAAAAACTGGAAATGTGTTCAGCGTAATTCTTACGGCCAATGAAAGAACAATGGACTACGGCTGGCCTAAAAAATACACATTTTTTTAAAACACCTCATATACTTTTACCTCGATATCAAAAGTTCAAGAAGCAACACTTTTTTTTATATAAAAAAGCTCTTGTCTATATGACAGGTGTCATTATTTCATTTATTTTCTCCACAAATGAAATCTACAAAGTTAAAAAAAAAAGTCCTTTAGGTAAGTGAAAGCATCTGATTTGGTCACTGAGTTTAACAGGTGCTATTGACATTTCTTAAGGTCACAGCGCCCCACTGTGGATTATTTTAGTAATGGTAGAAAACAAGGATTAAAAATGTATTTTAAGAAAAATATGATCATTAATTAGGTTTGATTAAAAAATCCCAGTAATTACATGCAAGTTAAAGACTCCTGAAAGCAACATGAAATGAATCAACAACATACACTGTAAGACCATAGAAAACTGAGATCCCAGAGGTCGCCTTGATTTTAGACAAATATGATTTTTTTTTTAGGTGACAGTGTCTTGGGACCACTCAGTTTTTGTAGTTCCTGTGTCTGACCGAGCACACCACTCCACTCTTTGGCCTCAGCGTGCCGGTGTCCAGGATGTCAAAGCTCTGTCCCGGGATAAGGGAGAAGTCGAACCTCTGGAGCAGCTTGGCCATCACCACTTTGGCCTCCATCTGAAAACACACCACCACCCCACTGAGCTCTGAAACTGTTTGTGTGTGTTGTGGGACTGTGTGTTGATATATATATATATTTTTTGTTACCCCCCACCTGAGCAAAGTTCTGTCCGAGACATGAGCGTGGGCCCAGGGCAAAGGGGTAGTAGCAGTAATAAGGCCTAGTAAAACAGATAAACAGTTTTTTAATACTTTTATCCTGACTATCATTTCTGGCTCTGACACATCAGGCCAAACAGAAAATTTCCATCTTTCTTACTTTGGAGCGTCCGGGTGAAACCTGTCTGGATCAAATGTCAAGGGGTCCTTGAAAAACCTTTCCATCCTCCCGCACGAATAAGAGCTGAACTACATATTGGAAACATTCAAGTCAAATTTGGTCCTCTTTATAAATACTTGACAAATAAATAATCAATGCCGCTGCCACTCCAAAACAAATCAGATCTTGGTTTTCTGCTTTAAAATGCCAACATGTTAACAGGCAAAACACTCACTAAGCAGCTGACCCCCCCTGGAATACGGACGCCGTTGATGACAATGTCTTCAGGAATGTCTCGCGATGTCCCTGGAGCTGTCGGGTAGATTCTCAGAGTCTCCTTCAGAACCTAGCTCGGGGGGGGGGGGGGTTAGCTTCAAATTTGAGGGTCAAAGCAAAAAGAATGTCAGTAGTAGTATGTACCTGTGAGAGGTAAGTCAATTTGCCAAGATCGTCATAGCTTATGTCCTTTTTCATTCCGATCACATCGTCTATCTCTTTCTTCGCCCTGGGAAGTAAAAAAAAAAAAAAAAAACAGAAAAAACTCCTCATGAAGCTATTGTGTGATAAACCAATGTCCTGCTCTGCCTCATGGGCTCTTACTTCTCCAGTATTTCAGGGTGTCTTCCAAGTTCCATGACGCAGAAACCCAGCTGATTGGCTGTCGTTTCCTGCCCTGACAAGAAAGGGTTCAGAAAACAAAAGATCAATCCGGCGTGATCTCTGACGTGGTTGTATTTGTCGCCACTAAATTGAAAAGATACAATAAGGATGATAAAACTAAAGAATTCGACCCTGGTGACATTTTTCCTGTTTTTCAACCTTACAACCTGAAATTAACTTGAGTACTTGTGTGGTCTGATTGGAAAACCAAGAAGAAGGTGGCAAATATTTGAAAAAGCAAAAGATTTAGCAAACTGTGGCACGCACAAATATAAGCCAAAGTCATTACCTACCACCCATCTTTGTGAAAAACACCAAATGATTTTACCACCACCATGCTTTGCTACTTTTTATATTTTAAAAAATGATGTTGTTCCCTTCAAGAAAATTGTCTTCTTCCTGGATTAGCAGGTATCTGTAATGTTGGAGCTTTGGCCTCTTTGTGTATTGGCAGGTCTGTTATGGCGTCACGTTCTTTCAATTTTTTAATAACGGGCTTTAAAGTTTTTCATTGAAAATCTTTCAACATCCCGGACCTTTTAAGGAAGCTTCTCCACCTTCACTTGCACTGCAGACCTGTGTCTTACTACAATAGATGGTTTTACATACAAAGATCAGGTGACACTGACACTGACAGCAAAAAGTGAGATTATTTATGTGTAGAGCGGAAGCACATCTACAAATGACTGAAATAAACTCACCGGCAATGAAGAACGTGATGAAATTGTCCAGCATTAACTCCTCATCTTCTTGTGTAATGTTCTCCTCTGACATCAGGAAAAAGTATGAGTCAAGTACTTGAATCCTTGTAAAAAAGTAGTCTATGTGCTCAACAGTGTAAAATGAGAGGAAAACACTGTGCAGCAAAGCATGTTAAACCCTCTTTGTAACCCATGAGTTACTCTGCACATGATATCTTTCCATCCATTGCCCCTGTTAACTCGGTCACAACCTTCAGCCGCCGTTTTGATGATCTGCGTCAGGATGTCTTTGGGGACGTCTTCGCCGTTCCGCATGGCAGTCTTCCTCTTGTTGATCCACTTGGCTCCAGTGGCGCGCAGGAGACGGCAGGCTTCCTTCACCTCATTCACAAAAGTCCAGTTCTTTGGCTTGAGCTGGAGTTGAAGATCGAAGATGTCACGCCACAGCTGACGCGCTCTTGCTACAAACACAAATCCAAATCAAATGACGAGTAAATACCTGAAACAAAAAGTCTCTGACGTAGTATGTCATCCCTATCAGGACGGTCTCGATGGCTTTGGGGAACGGCGAGCTATTTGTCAGGAGGTCCAAATCCATCCCAAAGGCAACCTGGGAGTTATCAAGGGGACAAATGCATTTATTTTCAGGTACATGGAGGAAAAAGATGAAAGCTTTAGTTATAAACTTGAAGGGGCCGTATATCTTACCTTAGCAATAACATCAAGAGTAACACAATTGAGAAGGTTCAGCATGTTAGCCTCTGTCTTATTATCAGAAACCTCTGAGAGCTTATCCATCAGCTTTTCTGCCCTCTCATTGAAGGTCCCCATCAGACCTCTCAAGTACCTGGAACAAATGAAAGTTTGAGGGGAAAAAGGAGCAAAGAACTGACCAGCATAGCCTTACAAACTTCGTAAGAAAAATACTGTGCAAAAGAAACAGAAAAATGCTCCCAACCAACTTAAAAAAAACAAAACTAAAGAAACAAAACAAAAAAACAAACAAAAAACGGATCTACAAGTTCTAAAAACAGCACATTAAATAAGTGGGGAGTGGAAATCGGGATGACGCACAGGCTGCTGAATGAAGGATCCATGATCCGCCGCTGTTTGTACCAAAGGTCATGGTCCCGAGCCGTTATAAGACCGTTGCCAAAGAACCTGCAATGGAGACAGGTGAGAGAAGATTGTCAGGTGTCAGAAAATGAGCCGACGCTCTGGAGGTGGGGGTCAGTTTATCTTGAACTGGAAGCACAGTGAAGGATGTTGTGTCCTACAAAATCAGCAAAGGAATTAGACAAATGACAGCAACACTGGCCCTAACTGTAAACGGTCTAACAATATGGGAAATTATCAGAGAGGTGCATGCATGTAAATACGTAGAGCAAGTTTAAAAGTGTAATAACTACCTTTGACCAAAGAGGTTAAATAGTCTCTTGTAGACAAACTTCTCCTTTGGGTACTTTGGGGACATCAAGATTTCCTGAAACCAGAAACGGCTTAAATGCTTGACAATCAGAGGAGGATTTTTGCTGTACACTTTTGGGACAGACGGTTACCTTGGTCGCCTCTGGACAGGTCACACACACGCTGACGTGATGCAAGAAATTGAGCCTGTAAACGGGGCCGTAGGTCTCGCTCCTGTAAATGACACGAATGCAAACAAGGCCATTTTTCAAAAAATGATACGCTTAACTAAACCCAACAGCAAATCTGGGCCCTGAACGGCTCACTGGCTTCCATTCCTAATTGCCCTTTCACGTACCACTCCAGAAAGAGGTCGTGCACAAGTCCGCTCTTCATTTTCTTCATAAAAGTCGGTGAATGTCCCTGCAAGAAACTACACAAAAGAGGCAAAACACGACATAGCATTTTGAAATCACCCTTCTTAAGAAAACGACCGAAAGGCCGACTCGACTTACCCGTCTCTCGGTGGCCCCGGTATGTGGTCATATTTGACATGAACATGCCAAACATACAAGCAATAACAGAGGAACGCTGCGAAAAGAAGAACGGCGAGAACGAGAAGAGCTTTAGCCCCCAAACTCAAAAGTCCGTAAAAAATAGCCATTTTGTCGGAAGCGACTATCGTCGTGTCGCCGGCTTCCAGATGTACCTTTCACGGAGGGGTTAATTACACAGCTCGTAGCCCTGGTTAATTCGCAATATCGAACTTATCTGCTCGTTATATTTGTTTTAAAGCAGTTCGAAGTCCACTTATTACACCTGGCGTGATGTATTGGTGCACTTTGAATATACTTTTACACGAAATGTGCGATACAACCAAACTTGCCCAGACTTGCCACTCCTAACTTTCAAAAAGCAAATTTGGGAAGTTGTGTTGATGAGTTGAATTTACTTCAAATAGTAGATTAATATTTTTTCGTCAACTTTCAGCAAGCTATTTAAAACGTGAAGCAGTTTATAAAATCACGGGCCCTTTCATTTTTGGGAATTTTTAAAAATATATATTTTTAGACAGAAATGCAACGTTTTGGAGACGCTATCCTTACTTCCTGCCGTTTTAGGGCTACTGCGCGCTCTCCTCTGCGCGTCCCCGCGACTTAAGGCCCTTGTCACAGCGGGTGGCCTTAATTCGTCACTACACCTGTTGCAAGCTTTATATTTGGCGACCATATAGGTGACCTGTATTTATATTTTATTATCAAAATGATTGTCTTTGACAAGTTGGACAGTTGCAGTTTATCAGGTACTTTTGAGATTTGTTAACCTTCACACTGCCACCATGTGTCAGTAGTGAAGCACAGAGTGGGGGGAAAAGGTAAAACACAATGTCAATCGTTTGCTGCATTTTATTTCAGGTAAAAGTCACATTACATGAGTGTGTAACTGAAAGTTTCAGTGGTTATGAAAAGTGAATTACACTTAGCAAAAGGATTAGTATGTACTTGCATCTAACTTTATGTATCAAGCATTAAGAGTACCACGCGCACACACACACACACATATATATATATATATATATATATATACACTATATATATACTATATATACCACCCAGTTTATATATATATACACACATGTATATGTAGTGTCTTGGGACCACTCAGTTTTTGTAGTTCCTGTGTCTGACCGAGCACACCACTCCACTCTTGGGCCTCAGCGTGCCGGTGTCCTGGATGTCAAAGCTCTGTCCCGGGATAAGGGAGAAGTCGAACCTCTGGAGCAGCTTGGCCATCACCACTTTGGCCTCCATCTGAAAACACACCACCACCCCACTGAGCTCTGAAACTGTTTGTGTGTGTTGTGGGATATTATGTTGATATATATATTTTTTTTGTTACCACCCACCTGAGCAAAGTTCTTTCCCAGACATGAGCGTGGGCCCAGGGCAAAGGGGTAGTAGCAGTAATAAGGCCTAGGAAAACAGATAAGACAGAACGCTTTGCTTTCGTTCATTTTGGGCTCTGGAGTGGTCTGCACAAGCTTGACACAAACCATTCCAGAGACCGTAACGCTCCCAAACCTGTTCAGTGTGCAAGCAGGGTTAAGTCATGAAAGAATAAGGATAGAAAAAGCAGGTGAACACAAGTATATTCACACTGGCTCCTGCTTACCTGGGAGCCTCTGGGTGAAATCTGTCTGGATCAAAGGTTAAAGGGTCCTTGAAGAATTTTTCCATCCTCCCACACACATAGGAGCTGAACTGGGTGTTGGAATATATTATGTTTGTTTTTTTTGTTGTGTCCTATAACTAACTGATACTATTACACAAATAAATCTCAGGGATCACAAGCTTTACCATGCAGCTGGCTCCCGCCGGTATCCTGATACCATCAATAACCGTATCTTCAAGAATGTCACGGGATGTGCCTGGAGCCGTTGGGTAGATCCTCAGGGTCTCTTTTAGCACCTGACAGAGGGCTTAATTAGAATATGAATTGTTCTTGCAAAAAACATAATGTTGAGGCTAGAATTCAGAGAAGAAATGGAAAATATTTAAGTTTATGCTTGACAAAAAAAAGACTTGTAACACTGAAACAAAGTACAGAGGACAGTTAAAGAGGTAAAGCATATGCACGTGTACCTGTGAGAGGTAAATCATTTTGCCAAGGTCATCGTAGCTTATGTCCTTTTTCATTCCAATCACATCATCCACCTCTTTCTTCACTCTTGAGATAAAAGCATTGCTTAAAACACAGTTGTCGACTTGTTAGATCAAATACAGCCCAGCGCTGCACCGTTAGTTCTTACTTCTCCAGAATTTCTGGGTGTCTTGCAAGCTCCATGATGCAGAAAGCCAGCTGATTGGCTGTCGTTTCCTGGCCTAAATATACAGGTACAGTTTAAACATACAGTCAGATGCTAATTTAAAAAAACATGGCTATAAAGACCAGATCACTTTAAATAACTCTAAATATAAACCTTACACAGTGATGGTAGTAAAAAATACAGCAGAAAAGGTGTACATGTGGATATCCAATACAGCTAAAGACATTTATTTTCCACATTCTACATCAAGAAGCAGAGGAAAACCAACTCACCTGCAATGAAGAATGTCACAAAATTGTCCAACATGAACTCCTCGTCTTCCTCAGTCATCTTTCCTTCTATTAAAACAACAAATTGGAGTTGGTATTACACATCCGGAATATGTATTTTGTCTCTATTAATATTAAAAACTATTTCAGAATACCAGCCTGCACATAGCAGCAATGAGGCTTTTTACATTCTTGTCATAAATCTGGATTTACGGTCTGTGCTAATGCTGGGAGGCATTTCTAGTCAAACCATGTGCAGTCTGTGGGCGTTAAAACCTGCAGCTGACGTTTTGATGATCTGCGTGAGGATGTCTTTGGGAACATCCTCGCCGTTCTGCATGGCTGTCTTTCGGGTGTGGATCCACTCGGCCCCAGTTGTGCGCAGCAGGCGGCACGCCTCCGTCACCTCATTTATGAAAGGCCAGTTCTTTGGATTGAGCTGGGGTTGCAGAGATAAAACGTCACACCTCCCCAGATAAGATTTTGATCCCCAATACGCCATGTTGACCAAAACTCAAGCAGTACCTGGAACAAACTGTCTCTAATATAGTACACCATCCCTTTGAGGCACATCTCGATGGCTTTAGGGAAACGTGAGCTATCAGCAAGGAGATCCAAATCCACCCCAAAAGCAACCTGATGGCCAAATGGACAGACCCGCAAACATGGGGTTAAAGATAGATCAGATCAAAGCTGTGGAGGAGGACGCTGTAGAACTGATTCCACCTTAGCAATAACATCAAGAGTAACGCAGTTGACCAGGTTCAGCATGTTGGCCTCCGTCTTATTATCAGAAACCTCTGAGAGCTTATCCATCAGATTCTCTGCCCTTTCATTGAAGGTCCCCATCAGACCTCTTAAGTACCTGGAAAAAATGAGAGTTACAGACAAAGGTGCGGGGCACAGTGTCCGAGGTTTACTTCATTTGGAAGCTGCCCAAGTGAAACCGTTTTTAGGCAGAGCAAAAACAAAGATCAATCCTCATAACAACAACCCACAAGCTGCTGAAGGCAGGGTCCATGATCCGTCGCTGTTTGTACCACAGCTGGTGGTCCTGTGCAGTTACAAGTCCATTGCCTAAAAACCTGGAAATAAACAAACGCTTATTTAGCCGATTGTTAAGTAAAAGCAACATATACATGTGAAAATAATCATATAACTGAGCGAAGTGCAGGATGACCTTTGACCAAACAGATTGAAGAGTTTCTTGTAGAGGAATTTGTCCTTTGGGTACTTTGGGGACATTAATATTTCCTGAAAGTAGAACCATATGCTTTGGACATCAGGTTCTCATACCAGACACTGTATTCTGTAGAACAGTGTTTATTTATGCATTTTTGCTCCCCTCTTTCCCCCAATTCGCATAAACACTGTATGTTTACCTTAGTGGCCTCTGGACAGGTTACACACAGAAAAACGAAATGCAAAACATGCACCTTGTAAACAGGTCCGTAAATCTCCGACCTGCAAACGACACGTCAAGCGTTCAATTTGGATTCAGCTCCTAAGCAGGGCAAATGTGCAGAAAGCTGTTATGCTGGGACTAGCTGAAAAACATCGATAAGATCCTACTCGGCAAACTAGTTACGCTGAAATCAGAGACTCGTAACAAGAGCTTGATTGTTTGCTAAAGATTACCATTCCAGGAATTGGTCGTGTATAATTCCACCTTTTTTCATAATCCTCAAAAAGGTTGGTGAATGTCCGAGGAAAAAGCTGTGGCGTAAAAACAAACAAACAAAAAAAGATAACAATGTTAACCAAGCTAATGAGCTAAAGTTTGCGTTTGCAGAGCTTTTTGTTAAATTGACCGATTGCCGATGGCTTACCTGTCTCTCGGTGGCCCAGGTATGTGATCAAATCTCATGTGAATTCGCTTGATGTACAAGCAGAAACCGAGAAACAAAATGAGAAGAAGAAAAAAGACAGCCAAAAGCACTTTGGCACTCAAACCCAAAAGTATTCGGAATACTGCCATTATTGACTACGAAGTCCTTCTAACCCCGACTTTGCGGTTACTTGGCACTGTGAAGCTAAACGTATCCTTCCTTGAGTGCAGGAGGACGGTAATGACGTAAAAATAATGTGGAAATGTGTCCACTGTCGCCACCTGTGTATGCGACTGTTGAACTTTCCGATATTTCAGCCACAGCATGTCAATGGCTCCATAGCTCAGTGGTTAGAGCACTGGTCTTGTAAACCAGGGGTCGCGAGTTCGATCCTCGCTGGGGCCTAGGGTCAGAAAATTTTCTTGTGACCCCTATTCTTTGTATCTTTCATTGCAATTTATATAAAACTTTGAGTCAATTCTCGGAAAAAACAACTATGAATATATTTTTAAGCGTATATACTGCTTAAAGATGACATATTATACCCTATTTCAACAAGTTAAACTAGTTCCCTGGTGTCCTAATGTAATGTCTGTGACAAGCTTTGGTCAAAATACCAAAGTTGCACAATAGCAGTTCAATCACCCTGCCAAAATAGCCCCGTTCAGAGCGATCGCTTTTGAGTGTCTGTCTCTGTAAATGCAAATGAGACCCAGGCAATCCACCCACTTCTTCCGGGAGGTGTGCCGGCGTCGGCACGCTAACGCTACGCTAGGCCACGCTGACGTTGACGCTGACGCTAGATCAAATGGATACCGACAACAGTCAGGATGGCCGAGCGGTCTAAGGCGCTACGTTCAGGTCGTAGTCTCCCCTGGAGGCGTGGGTTCGAATCCCACTTCTGACAAGTGTTTTCTACTTTTGGGTTTCAGAACTATTCAGAATTTCATGGCATTACCAACGTTTCACATCAGATATGACCATCACCATCTGGGTGATGTTGTCTTTCTTCAATATAGTTGCCGATTATAGAAATTCTGTTCTAGTGATTTCGTCCGGGGATTGTCAGCCATATAGCGATATCCTGACATGATACACAATTCTGTTCTTTTTTTGTTATTGTAAAGTATTAATCGAAACTAGAACATTTAAGAAAAATGTTGAAGAGGGGCCACCTACTGCTCGCCCCCGGAACCCCAAACGGTGCGGGATAGGGCATCGTGGCTCGAATATGGCGGAGGCCCGTCTTTCGTGACCCCTTCAATGTTCGAATGAGGTTTCTCGGACGTCGTGGGGCCGAGCGATTAGGCCCCTTTTCGGCCTTCCCACTTATTTCCTATGATACGGCGTTTCGTTTTTTCGCTGTGTATTAGAAAACGCCGAGACTAATGAGAAAGATATTGACGTGCGTGCGTCCCGTGGTCGGTTCAGACGCGCGTGTCGATATTGGGCCCGATCCGTCGAACTGGATTTAATAATATGTGACGGAATAAATATGCACAACAGCAATAGGGGGCCCCTGGCAGTGGCCCCCTTAATTATCTTAAGTGTGGTGTATGATATACGTCTCAGAAAACCATCGGCCCGGATAATGGAGCCTTTTTTTACATCAAAATGAACAGAACTACCGCTCGGAAAAGGAGCGGTTTTTAGATCAAAGGAGGCCGGTTGGCCGCACAGCTGTCAGGATGGCCGAGCGGTCTAAGGCGCTACGTTCAGGTCGTAGTCTCCCCTGGAGGCGTGGGTTCGAATCCCACTTCTGACAAATGTTTTCTACTTTTTTGGGTTTCAGAACTACTCTGAATTTCCTGGGATAACACATAATAAATAATAATTGTAGAACTCCAATCTAAGGTGAAAAAATGTCAGATGTGCCTCTCTATTGACATGGTTGCTTGTCTAGAGCTACATAGTCTGTTACCTGTTCACCTTGTTCACCAGGTGGCGCCCTTGGAGCACATTATGTTTAGTTAATCTGCCGTTTTCTTACCTTTACTCATTTCAGAAGTTTCAATCCTTCTCTACTGAATAAAATGAAAGAAGCAAAGCATTGTGAATGCTCTCTGAACTCTTCTTCAGAATCTTTCTTTGTCCTTTAGACACAAACACACACACATGCACACACATAGACACACAGATATATATTCTCAGCTATTAAATTCTGTACAAGATGTAGATGACTCAATGTGTCAATGGCCTCAAAACTGAGCCATTATCCTGCTAAATGAAGCAGAAGAAGACCTACATGGGCGTCTTCTGAGCTTTAGATGATTATATGACACAGGGGAGAGTTTTTACCGCTTTGAACCAATTAAACTCTCTCAAGCAACCCTAGGATAATTAGTTTCAGCTCTGAGGGGAATTCCAACGGAACTTAAAATAGGTTTACTATTGCCAACAGGACTGTGCAACTACGTAGACTGATGCGCTTCACGCACCCGGCGTGCTTACCTCTAAGCTGGTGAAGCAGGAAAACCCTCCAACGGTTTATGCAATTACACTCATCTCCAAGAAGACTGGAATAACAAGGTGATTATGAGAAGCTCTGCTGCATTAAAAAGAACCGGAGTGTCTGACTTAGTGATGCAGATGGACATTGTGAATCAAATACACTCATGTTTGCTCTTGTGAATGTGTTGGCTGAACATGAATCACACTTCAAGAAGCTAAAAAGGGCTGAAAGGCTGTCACGTAGTTCTGTACTCCCATAAAAAGGGATTTAGAAGCCACATATCTGGTTTCTTAACACCGTCCAATTCGTATTGTGAAATGTTGGAATCATACTATAAGAGGGGATTAACCTCACTATGTGATCTAACAAATTTAGGTCTCTGAGTGTCAGCTTTAACTGTGGTTTTCACCTCAGTGTGTCCGCTTGAGGCTGATCCAAACCATTGTGTGGTTAGTGTGATCACATACAAGTGTACGCACAATATGATTTTTTTTTTCTGCCAAAAGCAGAAAAAGAAATGACAACGAAATGTTCTCAGATCTTTGTTCTTTGATCTTTTCTAAGGTAAAGAATAACCAGAGCTACCTTGTATTCAATTACTAATTTGATTTTCGACTTTTTCTAAAGACATGGCTTTTGTGTGATAAGCACATTCATCCAATCTTTTTGAGAATAATGAGGAGATACATTTCAGACTCCACAGGCCTAAGGCAGTGCATTAACATATCAACACTAACACCTCATAGCAACTGTCAAATACGGTGGTGGAGGTTTGGTTATTTGGGCTTGTTTTGCAGTTATTGATTCAAGCCTGAACTCCTCAGTTTACCATGGTCGAACGTGAAGCCATCTATCCAACAGACACTCTCACGTCACCCCTCTGTTCATTGAGCTTCACTGGTTACCCCTGGCTGCCCGCATCAAATTCAAGTCCCTGACGCTAGCCTACAAAGTGCTTAAGGGTACGGCTCCCGTCTACTTGAATCCTCTTGCAAAGGTTTATGTTACAACCCGGTCACTCCGGTCATCAATGGATTGCGCCTACACCACGCTTGAGACAATCCAGACTGTTTTCATGTGTTGTTCCAAGATGGTGGAATGACCTACCAAGCGCTACAAGAACTGCAGTGTCCCTGTCTATCTTCAGGAAACTCTTAAAGACCCATCCCTCAAAGAGCATCTCCTATCCTAACTCTTACCCATACCACTAAACTGCCTCTACTACTCTTTCTGTGCTTTTTTCTTTCTCTTGGCTGTCACCACTGACTCAGGATTTTCCTCCAGAGAGCTTGTCAGCTTTTTGATAACTGTAACATTGTGTCTACTTTGTAAGTCGATTTGGATAAAAGCGTCTGCTAAACGCATGAACATAAACAGACAGAGCTCGGCTGGAATGGTCATTGAAGGATATCCATTTCCAAGTAGCAGGTCAGAATGCCATAAAAGTTGAAAAAGGAAAAAACAAAAGCGGTAGAATAGTTCGACCTGGTTGAAACTCTGTGGGGAGAAGTATATCATCTCTTGCCAGATGCTGTTTTTTTTAAATGTTCAGGACATAGGAAACCTGAAGGTGCCGCTGGTTTCTGTGTGATTACTCATCTTCACCAACAGGCAGTGCTCTACCTCAATCTTCCGCATTCCCTCTGAGCATGATATTCTCTCTGTATTGTCTCAGTTACTCCAATGAGCAAGACAACATCAACTTACACATTTAAATCAGAGTGGTGTTTGTAATTTCTACCATGAGCAAATCCATGTGCATGCTTCTGGAGCACCATCTAGGTGAGAGTGCCGGGCCATCTTAGGATCTTATGGATTGTCTGGGGCTTAAATGATCTCATTCTTGGGCCAGCTTGACACAAAAGAAGGTTTTGTTTAGAGAGGATCGACGAGACTAATCTGAAAATGTGGCCTCCAATCAAGAGGAGGGTCGTTTAGTGTGATATAAGGCAGTCCTCTGTTGATCCAAAAGACCACATTCCTCCTTTTTGTGTGCGGCGATCCAGTCACTTGCTGCTGTGCCACCTCATACCTGCACATATTGTCCGCAATAACTTTCAAGCTTGTCTGCATTCTTATCTTAAAAAGAACAAGCAATCATATTTTTGGTCCAGGGTCTTGGCTCCATCTAAGCGCTGGAGGCTAGGGGCTGTTTGATGTTGTTATGACTGGCCGGCTGCCACCTCCGTACTACCAGATCTGCAGGCCCCTCTTATGTCCATCGGTATTGTGTTGGCTGCTCTTTTGATTATATTATCAACTGGGAGCGCGAGGAGGAGAAAATTAAGACTCCCACTGGACATGGGTAAACAAGCAAAAGTTTGCTGAGTCTGGTTCATCCAAAGAATGTGAGTTATTCAGACTTCTCCGAGGATATTGTTGTCCAGTGTTAGGATTATCATACTCAATATTGTTCTTGTTTGATAGCACAATTTTCCCAGGTTTTGGTTAGAAAGAGAACCATGGGGGGAAAAAAAATCTGAAGGACAACTTGAAGCTGATTTAACCCAACGTACACATGAATACAAAGCAGTGAAGTTCTCAGCCTTTGTACGTTTGTGATCCAATTATATAGATGTGAAAATGATACCTAAAAGAGAAGCCTTGAGATGGCTTGCCGTGAAATGGTTTTCTTTACCTTCCCAGAATCCCAGAGGATAAGCGATTCTCATGGCATAAATCCTGTGCACCCTGGTATTCTTGAAACTGGGCACTTTTAGGCCACCCTGATGAGCATAGACATTTCTATTCTAAAAAAGATAAACAGCCATTACTGCTACAATG